GTCCTGAGGGTTGAGGCTGGTCTCAGGCACCCCAATGCCATCAAATCCAGAGTTTGTGCCGCGGATGGGGCGGTTGGGGCCGGCGCCACCGTTGCTGTACGCGCCACCTCCGTAATCGGGGGCCGAGGGGGTGCTCTGCGCCGTGCTGCCGCTGGGCTTGTACGAGGTTGCGCGCAGGCCGCGGCGGCGGCGCGCGGTCGCGGCACCAGACAGCACGGCGGCACCGACAGCGCCGCGCTTGGACGCTGCGCTCGCGGAGGCTGCGGCGCTTTCCAGGTCGCGGAACTCCCTGTTCGCAAGGCCAACAGCGCCGTTGGTCCCCACGTACGTGGGGACGGGCGGCGCGTTGGCGCTGGGAGGGTCTGCAAAATTGATGAGGGCCTCTGTTGTGCGGCAGGGCAAGGGCGTGGGTAATCGGGTTGGTGACGGGCGGTCAGCGTGTGGCCGAGGTAGGTGTGGACGGCCTGCAGCCGCCAGCGGTTTCAAGACCGCGATGCATGCAGCCGCAGCGCATGCCGCCGCATGCTGCGCAGCTCCTGAGGGCACACACCATAAGGAGCAAGTGACTGTGCAGATGCTTTGTGTTGTCCTGATAGGGGCGAGTCAGACTCACGTTTGATGTCGCTCGGCCCCCAGCTCCAGGTTGGTGAAACCTGGCAGTGGACGCCCTTGCACACCACCAGCACCACCAGCACCACCACGAGCTGCCTCATGGCGAGGTTGAGTGGCGTCAAGCTGCTTTTAGGATATCGTAGACATCCCGTCATGTGACGAGGGTGGGTTGGTTGGTTGGTTGGGCCACCTGCGAAACCTTACGAAATTCAGAATCGGCAAATAATGACACAGGCTCTACGAGTGTAAAATACACTGGCGGGACGCGTGCTGCAAAGGTTTGCAAGCAAGTCGAGCTCGACGGCTGCTTCGCGTCCTCTCGGCTACGAGCCCAGAGCACACAAAAGCACCGCGCAGCAATGTGTTCAATCACGTTTACTGCACTATCCTGGCAAGTGAAGAGATGCCGATGCGAAAAACCGTGTCGCTGGACCCGAGTGCGCCCACTCAAACGTCAGAACCGGCCACTGCCACCTGAAAATTGCGACCCCACAGAGGGCCACAGCCCGTGCCACCCCATCACCCCAAGGCTTGTTTCAGCCCAACAAAGGAAAAAAGAATGCAGGTCCTAAGAGACCACAAGGTGCCAGCTGCTGGTGAATGTGGGCTCCTGGTTGTGCGCATCTAGCACGCGTCACGCAGCCGCTGCAGCGACCACAGTGCAGCACAGCAACTTGGGGGCCGCCAGCCACATCCAGCAACTTGAGGGGCGCCGCTCAGCTGAAAAACGGCGCTCCGCACGTGCACGTCCGCCGGTTGCCCATGCACACGCCTTCGTAGCTGGGGTGCCGCTTTGCGAAGCTCGAGCTTGGCGGCGCGGCGAGCAGCTCCTGCTGCGCGCGCTGCCACGCGTCCGGGTCGGACTGCAGCTGCTGCCAGTAGTTGAACAGGCGGATCGACTTGACCGCGTCGCCTGCAGCATCGTGCGCCGTATTGTCTACGTCCCAGCCCAGCAGGTGCTTGGCGCAGTGGTCCTGGCTGAAGACCGACCAGCTGTGCAGGGACGAGGGGGGGGGCAACGGCGCCATTTTTGTTGGAGGGGGAGTGGAGGGTTCTGAGGGGGTTGCTGGTACACAAAGGCTGCGTATTGTGGGATCGGCAGGGTAGCAGCAGGGGTGTTGCCTCGTTGCAGCGTGGTGGCGCGAGATTGGATTCAAATTTGTGTTTGAAGGGATAAGCGGGTGAGAGAAAGAAATCCTGCACCAAGCTGCTCCCAGGGGATGGCGAGCCACAGAGGTCAAGCCTGCCATCAGCACAAAAGGGTTTGAGCTCAGACGAGCAGCTCCTGCGCCCCGCCAAAACGTCAGAGCTCGCCCCCAAAACAGGGCGGCGAGGTGCCGTGCCCAGCGCCGCGTTGCGCTGCGCCCGCGGCGCCTCCAGGTGACCGCAGGCCCCGGCCCGCACCTGTTGTAGCGCGGGTTCCACACCCTGAAGAGCCCCGCCAGGTCCACGCACGACGCAAAATCGACGCTCTCCCTCAGACCCAGCCACTGCACGTCCTGCGGGCGAGGGCAGATGAAGGAGGCCACGCAGGGGCGGGTTGGCAGCGAGCGGTTGGTGACTTGCTCACCTACACGCGGAGGTGCGCAGGCGGCAACAGGCGGGCGGGTCCAACGGACACCAGTGCAGCGGCTGTCGTCGACGATACAGCGCGTGTGCACAGGCGTCAGGCCGCCGCCGTAGGAATCCCGGCGCTGCCGTCGCTGCTAAATGGCTGCAACACACGCGGTGAAAGGCGCCGTAGGAATCCCGGTGCGCGCGCCCCTGCTGCCGCCCCCGAAGGCCGCACCATGAGGATGTTCTGCCCGACCAGCGCCGCTTGCGGCGGCAGGCAATTCTTCAAGAGTGCCACCTGCGGCCCGGCACGGGCAGGTGGGGGACGCGCGGGTCATTCGCTCGCTGCAGGGCGGCCGGGCGCGACAGCCGTCGAGGGGCGTCGCAAGAACCGGGCACGGATGAGCAGCAGCGGCAGCGGCGGCGGCAGCGGCAGCAGCAGCGGCAGCAGCAGCAGCAGCAGCAGCAGCAGCAGCAGCAGCAGCAGCAGCAGCAGCAGCAGCAGCAGCAGCAGCAGCAGCAGCAGCAGCGGCAGCAGCAGCAATTTGGGGCAAGCAGGCTACTGCTGGGTGCAGCCTCCTCAGGGGCCCGCGGCCACACATCGCGCCTTAGCCCTGCCTCCTTGAACCAGGGCACCGCGGCTCTGCGGACCAAGAATCCGTGCATGCGCACGGTGGTGCATGCGCATGAGGCCGCCCCCGGCGCACCTGCTCCGCCAGCGGCCGGCCGAACCGCTCCACCAGGTCGCGCGTGATGCCCGTCAAATCAGTCAGGTAAGACACCACGGCAGCTTCTGGCTTCACGTACAGGTTCAAGACGACCTGGCGGCAGGACACCAAGGCGCGCGGGGGCGCGGGGCACGGCAGCGCGCAACGTGGGGGCCATGCGCCGGCTGACGAGTTTGCAGCCGCTTGTGCGGGCCAGCCATTGCTCGAGCAGAGCCGATGCTGCTGGGATGGGTCCAGCATGGCGGGACGCAATGCTGTGACTGGATGGGGGGTTGTGCTGCCGGCGGCGCGCTGCGGACGATGCGAAGCAAGGCTTACCTGCTCGTACTGATCTACCAACGCAATCTGCGCCACCGCGCGGGAGTTGTGGTCGGCGCCCGTCGCCACGCACTCGACGTCGATGCTGTAATAAAGCTGCGGCACGACTAGCTGCTGCTGTTGCTGCTGCTGTTGCTGCTGCGGGAACTGTTGCTGCTGCGCCATCGCTGCTGCCGGGGCGGCGGCTCGGTGGCGGCAACGGCTGTTTGATGAACGTGCCGGTGACGCCGGTGCCTGAGGTCCGCGGTGGCGGCTGGGCAGCGCGTGACACGTTTATGAAGTATCAGTATCGCCGAGCTCAGAGGCAAGGCTGCGTTTTGCAGTGCCAAGGCTGGTGAGACCCAACACTCGAAATACAGGAGGGACGAACAGGGCGAACACAGGCGTACAGATATCAATGGGATTGGAAAGCTCCTTTTCAAACAAACGGACAAGCAGATACACATACACGCCGGTGTGCTGTCACCGAGCTGGACCACTGTTATGAAAAGACCACATCTGGAGTCTGTAACAAGCTGATGATCATAGAGCGCATAACCACGCAGTGACACGTAGCACGGGGCCCAGGGATCGCCACGCCCTGCAGGCGGGGGCGCCTGTCGTCGCGACCTGGGCGCGGGGCGCCGCCACCCTCGCTAATGGCGTTCTGGTGGCAGCTGCCGGCGTTCTTGGCAGCACTTGCATTCTTTCACGTCAGCGAGTTCCTGATGGCCGCACTGCTGGACCGGGACAACCTGTCTTTGCGATGTGAGCCCCCCACTCGGCCCCTGAAAGAAGGGAGGGGCGTAACCAACTGTACCGCTAGCCGCCTTGATACCGCCTGCAGCTGCCGGAGCACAGAAGAGCAGGGGCAAGAGAAAAGCGTGATGGTAGCAGGCGCATCATTTGCTGTCCTGCCTGCGCCACCAGATACTTCTACCTACACCCCCCATCCGCCGTCAATCGCGGCGTCTGGTCGCGGCTCGTCCCCGGGCCGGGCACCGTACCCACCTCCCCGTAGCGTTCCTGATCAGCAAACCTTACGTCATTGCCATGTCATCTGGCATGGTGGAGTACCTTCTTGAGATGCAGCTGGTGCCAGACGTCAAGCGGCGGCTTGCAGAGCGGCTGTCTCTGATAGGGCTCGCGCTGCTGGTGTTTGGAGAGGCCCTGCGAAAAACAGCCATGGTGCGGGCGCACGCGCACAGGATTGTGTCGGGGCCGTGTATAGGTTGGCAAGAGGCAGGGGCCATAGAGACACGGGTGGTGCACTTTGGTGGGGGAGGTTTGGCCCCTGAGCGACACCTTGCCATCAGTTTCGTCCGCCATCCATTCCCCTCCCCATTTTGTGCACCATCCTGCCCAGCGCCTTTGTCCCCACGTGATTGTGCGTATCCTCGTTCCCCAGCTACAAGGCCCTCTCCTTTGGCCTTCTCGTCCACCTGTCACTCCTCTTCTGGATATCTAGGCAACGGCACGCAGCGCGTTCACCCATGACATCCAAATGCAGCGGCGGCCAGAGCACGTGCTCGTCACAAAGGGCATCTACAGGTGCGACGGGCGGGGTCACGACACACACGCACGCGGGACTGTGGGCCGACCACCGGCTCTGAGCTTGATGCAGTCTGGCGCGTGTCCACTGGGCGCCGTGCATTGTGTTGATTGCGCACGTCTCAGAGGGTGCGGCGCCCAAAAGGGCTCGACGAAATGCAGTGAAGGTATGGCAGATGTTCGCGTCATCACGGTGCATGGAACATCTCATCTAGTCATCCTTCCCCCTCCCCAGTCAAGCGCGCGAATTTCATCTCATTCATGCGGCCGCAGGTACATCCGGCACCCCGGTTACCTGGGGTGGTTCGTCTGGGCAGTCGCCGGGCAGCTTCTGCTGGCCAACCCCATCAGTGCCATTGCTTTTGGTTACGTGGTGAGCCGACCTGAAGGGGCAACAGAGGCCGGCAGCGACCCCGCGTGTCGCATCTCGCCGCCTCCTTGAATTTGGCGCTTGCTGTGGGCGCCACCGGCGGCTGTGGGCGTCTCACTTCCCTATCACAGCACTGATGACCCGGTTGTCCTGACGTGGCATGGCTGCGACCCACTAGGCTTCCCCAGCCACGCACCTACAATACAATATCCAAAGATAGACGCCCTCACTATCTGCTACTGATCCGCTTCTGAAACGCAGCAGTGCAACTAAGGTCAGCAAGTTGTGTGCTCATTCTTACCAATTCACGCAACATCACTCCCCCCCCTTTCCCTGCCTCTGACCCCTCAAAAACAGTGTTTGCGGTTCTTCCAGCAGCGCATTGAGTTTGAAGAGTACACCCTGCGCCGCATGTTTGGGCCGGATTACGTCGCGTACGCGCGTCGCACACCAACGTGGATGCCAGGCATACCCTGACGCCGTTGTGGGGCATTGCTGGTCGGCAGGCATCTGCAGCCGGCCATGAGGCGCGCGGGAGTGCGCATGATGGTGGTTGTGGTCTGGCAGAGCGGCAGTTTGTTGATCGTCGAAGTTATCGATGGACGTGTGCAGAGCCGCTTTGTTTGCTGCTTGGCAGCAATTGTCTGTGTTGCAGCTTGAAAATTCCTCTACTTGACATCTCCTCATGAGGGCGGCGGGGTTCACCGATCCCCGCGCAGACCCAATGATCTTCAATTCAACACAATGAAAGACCCATTGCCCTCGCCAATGTATGGCTGCCTTGACAGTGTGCCTCCCTTTGTGCACCCAACCGTGGGCTAAGACGCCCCATTTCATGCATGTTGTGGAGTATGGTAATATGCATTTTCTGTTGCAATTCTGGAAGGTTGTGTGCAGTGTTGCAGGC